GGGGGGGGGGGGGGGCGTGGGAAGCGCTGGATACCATCGTGAAGGAGGCTATCTCGGAGGCGTTTGCGGCAGCGGACAAGGAGTTCATCGCGACCTCTCGGCTACCAGAGGTTGGTTGGTGGTGACTTTTTTTGACACGATGTGGTGTTGTTGTTGTTCTTGTTCGAGCGTGTCGTGGGGGCTTCGCGGATGGGATGGGTGGGAATGGGGCGGGGGGTATTCTTACGTTTTGCATGCCTTAGCGGATACATCATTGACCGCGCGTCCTTGAGAGGACGGAGCGTTGTTCCCACAGGACCGATCACCGATGGCCAATCGTTCCTTCCTACTTTGCCAAAAGTGGCTCAATACTGTTTTCCCTACAGTAGCCTATATATCCTATCGATATGACTTCCCGCCTTTACAACTCATTTCCTATGTCCCAGTACAGCTACCGTCCTCTCCTCTCTGTTCCATGCCTCAAACATCTCCCTGTATCCTCTTTCTACTTTTCCCAGCTCAGTCATGTACACTTTCCTGTCCGTCCTGTACAACGGAAATTCCGCAACAACATGAACCCGGTCTTCGCACTCGGGGTCATATTCACGTTTGAAGTTGTCGTCTTCATCGTCTACCTTCCTAAATATTCGTCTACGTTCTCCAAGGCCAATATCCCCGGTTCTGAACTTGACCTTCAGCTTGGTCGCTGCATCCATTTTTCAACACTCCGTACACATCTAGACCCTGTTTATCCTTGGTTTCTTTGGTTTGATGATGTTCTTCTCTCTCGGTAAAAGCAGCAGATAACTTCTCCTTGAATCCCTCTAGACCTTCTGTTTCCAGCGTATCACCTTCGTCAATTTTGAACTCCATCCATATGTCATCTACAACCTTGACCCACTCCGTGGGTTGTCTACCTCTGTTTTTGCCCACTTGGCCTCCCAAGCTTTTCTCGGCAATCTCTCCTCTCCCATACCGCGCCTACGTTACTGCCATGTTAGCTTCCTTGTGTCTGTCTCTTCCCGATCGTAGGGATTGGATCCCCAGTTCTGCCCTGACAGCTGCATTACCTGTGCGCTTGGAGTATCGTAGGATGATTTTCGCTGCTTTCATATGCGCCGCCTCGAGCTCTTTGACTACCTTATTATTTCCTTCCCATATTTCTCCGGCGTACTCTATCGGCGGTACGATTTCGCGCTTCAAAGCTGTCATTTGGATGCGTGTATGGAGGTGTCGGTTTGCGAGTATCGGATGCAATGGGTGCGATGGGTGAGGGGGGGCGGAGCGTCGTGTGTTTGGCCGCAATAGCGTTCTCATGTTCTTATCGTAGACGCTGATGTCTTAGGTAGATAGGTCGGAGCGCGTCGCGTCGACCATTGCCGACCATGTCAAGAGCCACGCTTTTGCGATAGGCCATGCCGATGATGGCGAATGAGACGGTTATCATCAACACCCCTTTTACAAAACCCATCGCTATCCCCCTCCCCCCACCCCACCCCTATCCCCACGTACGTGCTAACTTTCCTGCCCTCTCCGCCCTCTCCCGAAAAGGCGGGTAGCACGGCCACAACGTGCCTCGTACTCGGCCCCCGCCTCTACATGGCGAACGTGGGCGACAGTCGCACGGTGCTGTGTCGAGGCGGTAAGGTGCGGATGGCTTCGAACGACCACAAGCCCTCCCGCGCGGACGAACAGGAGAGGGTGCAGCGGGCGGGCGGCTTCGTGGCGCACCGGCGGGTGAGAGGGAGGCAGAGAAGGAGAGGGAAGGAGAGAGAGAGAGAGAGAGAGAGAGAGAGAGAGAGAGAGAGAGAGAGAGAGAGAGAGAGAGGGATGAGAGAGCCAGACCGAGCGTCAGAGTAAGACAGACAGAGGAGAAGGAGAAAGAGAAAGACAGACAGGCAGCGACAGACAACATGGTCGAAGAGTCGAAATATATAAAAAAGACGGATCCGTGCGTGTGCTGTGAACCGGTGTTGTAGATATCGTGAGGGGTCGTCTCACCAAACAAACACCTTGCTCTAATGACGTCAACCATACAGCAGGCTAAATTGCTGGCTGCTGTAGGCGTGCTGCGACTTGTAATAAATGTTGTGTGATGTTGTGTGTCACTGACGAAGATGGTGACAATGACCTGCGCAGGTGATGGGAGAGCTGGCTGTGTCAAGGGCGTTCGGAGACTCGGAGTTCAAGGGGAGGCCTGGGAAGGGCGGCGGCAGCGGGGGGCGGGCTTCAGCCAACAGGTGTGTGCGACGGTGCCCCCGACATGACAGCGTGCTTGGTTTTTGCATAAGGACGGAAGGCACAGACAGTACTAGTAGCGATTTGACTTTGTACAGAAAAGATACGTGTACCTACTTGGTCTCACCCGGTTCGGCACGTGTTTTCATTGTCAGGGAGGGGGCGCTGGATGCCGACGCGATGGAAGAGAGAGAGACCGCGTACGCTCAACTCATCACGGCAGAGCCCGAGTTCCTGGTGTCGGAGGTGCGTAGACAGCAGTGTCGTCGTCATCATCGTCGTCTCATCAGTGTCACTACTACCATACTACCATACTACCATACTACAATACTACATCCGCCGCCGCCGCCGCTGCTGCTGCTGCTGCCATTTTTTTATGTCGCCGCCGCCGCCATCGTCGTTGTCGTCGTTGTCGTCGTTGTCGTCGTCGTTGTCGTCGAACCAGAAGGAAGAAAGAACGTGTTCATCTCCGACCTCCACGAGAAGCAATGGAACAATAGCGTTGCGCCTCTGGCCACAGCAGACTCGCTCACGCACAACCGCTCACACAAAAAAGAGAGCATTTACAATTGTTTCGTGTTTTCAACCGCACGATAGTAAGACTGACGTCTTTTCATTGGTCAGCCGGTTTGCGCGGTCGATGCTCATAGTAAAAAAACACACAAGCACGCAACTCCCACGCTGTAGTGGGGCCGATCGTCGGTGGCGGTTCCTTTTGGGCACGCATGTCGCGCGGCGAAATACTCTCCTTTGCTCGCGCGCGCACCAAAGACCGCCCCGGCTCCCGACGTTTGACCTTCGGACAGTCTTCGGACAGTAGAAATTGTGCTGTGTCGTCTTTTCCAGTCCTTGGCTCGTGGCGTCACACAACAATCAACTCACTTGCTCACCACAAATTCATTCCCCACGAGACGAGTTCGTCCCTAGGGCGCCTTTTTTTTTTACTCTTGTCGATGTGTCCGGCCCGGCCGCCCGCACCCCCTCTCGCGTCGAAACACCTACAGATTTCCATATATTATCATAGAAGGACTTCCGGTAGGCCTTGGTGGCTGGCTCTGTTGCTTTGTCGCTTTTTTTCTTCTTCTTCTTCTATATGAGTGTTGCCCCTCCCCCCGCGTGCCGATCGCTCGTTTCTTGTCCCTATTGGTGTGTGTGTGTGTGTAACGAATCTACCACTCAGATAACTCCGCAGGACGAGTTCTTGGTGCTGGCATGCGACGGTGTGTTTGACGTTCTCACGAGCGAGGAGGTCGTTGCCAACGTCTACGAGAAGATGAAGATACACGCGGACGCCCAAAGGTAATTTCTTTTCTTGGGCTAGGGAGTGTTGTTCCCTCCCCCCCCCTCGATGTTTGCCATCGGGATTGGGTTTTCGTCGCTTCGCAACGACGTTGTAAAACACGCCAATTCACTTCGTGTGTTCGGCAACCAGGTTACCGTTTTTTTTTCACCTTTTTTTTTTTTTTCTTGCGGTAACCATGAATGGTGATCGAGTAGATTATGTTGTGCGGGGTCGATAACCCTCACTCCGCGCAAGGGGGATGATCGCACCACGTTGTGTTTAAATGGTCAAGCATTCTCGAGGCAGTTACACAGTGCTTTTATAACTGTCTCTGGAAGTGAAAGCACCAGAAAATATATTAAGTCAGTCATACGCAGCTGTCATCCGTACGCAAGGAAGTAAGCACAAGATGCCGAACACCCTTAGCAGGATGCAGCGCACCCTTCATGCGACTCGCCGAATACCTCACGGCGCTTCGCGCTTGGTGATGTGAGAGCCTGGTCCACAGTGAGAACCCGGCGTGCTCCGTCCCGGCTTTGTACGGATGCGAGGC